TGTGTGTCTTTTTTCTTCACAAGGTTTGGGAAGTTTTCAGTCATTATTTCTTCAAATAGGTTCTCAATTCCTTGCTCTCTCCCTCTCTTCTCTTTCTGCAGATGTTACACTTGATATTGTCCCAGAAGTCCCTTAAACTATCCCCATGCTTTTGGATTCTTTTCTCTTTTGTTCTGATTGGGTGTTTTCTGCTACCTTGCTTTTCAAATCATTGATTTGATCCTCTGCTTCATCTAATCTGCAGTTGATTCCTTCCACTGTATTCTTCATTTCAGTTACTGCAGTCTTCATTTATGGGTGGTTCTTTTTAAATTGTTTCTATGTCCTTTTTCATTCTGTTGATGTTCTCACTAAGTTCTCTGCGCAACCTTTTAACCATTATTTTGAACTCAGTATTTGGTAGTTTCCTTGACTCTATTTGTTTAGTTCTTTTCCTGGAGATGTCTCCTGTTCTTTCATTTTGGACATGTTTCCTTGTCTCCTCATTCTGGCTGCCTCCCTGTGTTTGTTTCTATGTATTAGGTAGGTATGCTATCTCTCCCAGTCTTGGTGAAGTAGTTTCCTACAGGAGGCATCCTATAGGGCCCAGTGGTGCAACCTCTCTGGTCACCCAAGATGGGCACTCTGGGTGCATCCGCCCCCACATGTAGGCCATGTGTACCTTTCTGTTATAGTTGAACCTTGATTGCTGTTGGCTTGTCAATGGGAGGGATTAACCCCCAGGCCAACTGTTATTATTACCTTTTTATCTGGAGGCTAAAGCTATCTCACTTTCCTGTAAAAGGAAAATTGGATCTTAAGTGTTTAGGTTTTTCATGAATTCTTCAGAACGCATGATTTTAATAGTTTTTTCTTTCACTGTTTCTATATTTTCTAGAGAAACAAAAGGAAAAGGACACATTTGTTATTTTGAATACCAAGGCCAAATACTTCTAAAAGGAAAGTGATGATTAACTTCACTGAAAGTTGTTTCAGTTATCCACAAACCACATTTGTGTACTGTACAAATTTTAGGAAGGTTGGAAACCCTTTGTTTTTTTTTGTGTGTGTTAATTGATTTGAGAGACAGAGAAAGAGAGAGGAACATGGACTTGCTGTTCCACTTATTTATGCATTCATTGGTTGTTTCTTGTGTGTGACCTGACCAGAGATCAAACCTGCAATCTCTGCATATCAGAATGATACTCTACCAACTGAGATACCTGGCCAAGGCCCCATTTATTTTTCAACTAGCAAAAAAGAAAGCCTTTTCTGAAACATTTTCTCAACACCTGTAGTTTAACCTTATATATCATCCAAATCTTTAATTTAGGGGTTAAAACAGAAATGTTCATATTTTTTCCTCTATATTAAGAAAGGTCATTTTCCTAACTGTTGAGAAGCTGGGCCTTAAGGATACTTCTGACTAGATCATTTTTGGAAAGGATCCTAGGCTCCAACAACAGCTACACTTGTCAATCAACCTCAGCCGTCACCTTTCAAATACAGTTGCTCCAAAGCCAGTGGCAAAAGCTATTTATAGAGTGAAGCCCAGATGAAATACAAGTATACATTTTCTCTTTTCCTAACACCTTCCCTTCCTTCATATTTATCCCACACAAGCTCTATAGATATATTCAATAATATTGAAATGGATTAAACTATTTTTGCAGTTTGAAGTAAATCAGAAGCAGAGGTATAAATCCATTGACTCAGAAAAATAACCTAGCATTGGGACAAAAAGTTTTCTATGAAAGGAAAATAATTCAATTTCTTCTTTGAGAAAATACTCTGGAAACTATCTGCCCCCCCCCTTTTTTTTTAACAGGTTAACTATTTATTGCTCCATATTATTATTTTTCCTGAATACTCTTGAAATGATTATCAGTTGATAATGTAATTATTCTGGAGCCTTCATGTGTAGGTTATAAAGAGGAATGAGAGGGGATTTTGTGTGGTGACAGCGTATGTTCCATGATACCCACTTCTGTTATTTAATCACCATGAAGCTTGCCAACTGATGGCCAAGCACTGACATAGAGTGTTCATTAAGTATGCTGGTTGGACAGGGTATCTCTAGCTGATTACCATGTCCAAAAACAGGTGGCATTTAAACCCAATGGGGCTATAGCCTTCAAATTGATTAGGTTGAATTTATTAATTTGGAGCCCTATTTAGAACCATGTAGTAGAAAGCCACTTAATCAAAACTCAGGGGCCTGTATTTATCAAATGGTTTTCAGAGACATGGATATAGACTGTCTGTGGTCTTTTAAAGAAATTTTCATAAATGAGGGTGATAGATTTCCTCCCACTTACACACATTAAATAAGCAATTTCCTTAAGTGAATTTGCAAAGATGAAACAAGAGTTGCTCCAGAGACATGGTAAAGACACAGAAATAGAGATTTCTAGCAACATACAAGTATGCAATGCTGCAAATAAACTAAGCTAGGAAATCAACTTCTTTTGCAATGACACTCTAGGATGAGGCCATGAACACAGGTTTTGAGTACTCATGAAAAAAATAAAAAGGCAAAGGCACAAAAAATTGTCTACAACCATTAGATATAAACACAGTCAGGTTGCTGAATGTGGAAGATTCTTCGAAAGTTACCTGCCAGGGAAAGGAGACCCCTGTATCACCAGGTGAAGGAAGTATCTATCCTCAGTCATGGTTCAGGCTCCTGACAGCAATCTGGTTTCCCATGAGAGATGCAGCTGATATGTATCTATCACCTTATGCCACAAGCTGTGGTCACATGCAAACTAGAAAGACCTGCGGGTGAAACATCACAATGGCATGGACAACAATGCCACAGGGAAGGCCACCATCTGTATAAAATTCACACCAAAGGTGCTGCTGAGGGCTAGACTAGGACAATGGTAAAAGCAGTAACCCCTGTAAAAGGCCCTTTCATACCCAGCAACCACATAGATTTGGGACAGCCAAAAGTGTGCCAAGTGGCTTGCTGGTGTGATTCACATGAATGTGAATAGTTATAATTTTCACCAAATTTTTGAAAATGCAACTCAGTTGGGGGCACCTTAGCCTTAATATGCTATAGGTACCTGGCTCAAACTTAACAAAATACTACAAAATTTAGTTGGAACTCAAGAAAATCTAAGATGGGAAAATGTAACAATATTTTTATTATTTTTTAATTTATTAGGGTAACTGGTTAGTAACATTAAATACATTTCAGGTGTATAGTCTCATCTGTATACTCTATCATGTACTTACCAACTGAAGCTGAATCTCCTTCTGACACCATGTATTTGACCTCCTTTACTCTTTTTTGTCCTTCCCGCATCTGCCTTCCCTTCTGGTAACCACCATTCTATTGTACATAGGTTTTTAAAAAACTTGTTTACTTGCTCATTTGTGGCTTTTTTTAATATCCCACATATAAGTGTAACCATACAGTTCTTGTACTTCTTTGTCTGATTTATTTCACTTAACATAATACTTTCAAGATATTCTGTGTTCATGGATTGAAGAATTAACATTGTTAAAATGGCCATATTACCTAAAGCAATATACATATTTAATGAAATCCCCATCAAAATCCCAGTGGTAATCTTCACCTAACTAGAACAGATAATCCTAAAATTTATGTGGAACCACAGAAAACTCCAAATAGCCAAAGCAACCCTGAGAGAAAAGTACAAAACTGGAGGTACTACATTCCCTGACTTGAAACTATACTACAAAACCACAATAATCAAAACTGTAAAGCATTGGAAGAAAAAGACACACAGACCAATGGAACAGAATTGAGAGCCCAGAAATAAACCCACACATAGGTCAGCAACTAATTTTTGACATAGGAGCCAAAAGCATGCAATAGAGAAAGCGTCTTTAATAAATGGTGTTGGGGAAACTGGAAAGCCACATGCAGAAGAATGCAACTAGACTGCTGAAACCATATTCAAAAATTAACTCAAAATGCATTAAAGACTTAAATGCAAGACTTAATACAGGGGGGAAAAACCCACATAGGCACTAAACTTATGGACCTTGGTCTCAGTAGGGTTTTTGTGGACATGACTCCAACTGCCTTCTTGCTCTTGACATAGATTTTAACAAGGTAAGTAGCAGGGTCTGCGGGAGAAACTAGCGTTTATGGGAGAAGTTCTCGAACTCTCGAACTCTGTCCTCAAGAGAACCCCACAGGCAGAGCTTTACGCTTACAATAAAGCTCTCTGGTTGTAAATGCCCCTCTCCTTAAATTCCTTTTCCCCTTCTATGAAAATACCTCTCCATTTTGGCAGCAGTGCAATGTGTGCACGTGGCTCGCGGTGCCTGTATGCAATGAGTTGCAACCCGTTCTTTCTCCGATCACCCCCTAATCTTTTTGGTGACAAAACTAGTGGAAACTGTCTACACTGTCTACACTCCCTATGCTCAGGTCGAGGTTGGGGCACCATGTTGGGTACCAGTGAACTGAGGTTTGTTAAGTTTAGAAAGACCACACTCCTCCATTCAACCTCTGCCTCTCCTTTTTTAAGAACGATTAACAATTTTTCGTGTCACTGGACTTCGAAATAGCAACATGAACAGGTGGGAAACTGTCTACGGTGTCCCTAGACAGGGTCCCAAAATGGGGAGCAGCTTTAACTCCTCTGAGGGTGAAGATTGAGCCAGTGATGAGTCCTAGAAATAAGAAGATTTGGAAAGCAGAACACGGAGAACAAGCTTCCGGGTCAGAGACCGCAGTCCAGCAAAGCAGTCCCCGCACGACAGAAAGTTAGCCGCCATAGATAGCGAAGCTGACCATTAGCTGCTGGCGGGCGGAGCTGGGGTCACGTGGGCAACGTCGGGTCAGAGCCCGGTGTTCGCGGGAGCACGCCCGAGTGGCTCAGCCCTCGGCTGCGCGCTTTGGGTGCGTGCACGCAGGCCGGGGGCGGGGCGTGTGGGTTGGACCTCTGGCGTCGGGGTGGGGGAGGTGGGGGTGGAGGCGGAGCGGGAGGCGGGATCTCCTCCTCCACCTCCTCCTCCACCTCCTCCTCCACCTCCACCTCCTCCTCCTCCTCCAGCAACGCTGGGCTGGTGGCGGGAGGAGGGTGAACTGTGGAGGGGTGTCTCGGCCATGACTGCGGAGCTTCAGCAGGACGACGCGGCCGGAACAGCAGATCGCCACGGCTCGGTGGGCCCCTTGGAGGCGATGGGGCGGGGGTGGGCGGGCTTCGGCCCTGCTCCGGAGAGAGGAGGGGTGCGGGGCTATAGCGGAGCAGCGAGGGTCGAGGGTCGTCGGAGAGCGGGTGGGCCATGCGAGGCTGGGCGTTGGGGGGTGGGGCTGCAGAGGACATCCGGGCGGTGGGTCTGCGAGGGTAAGGAAGGGGGCTCCTCGGGAGGAGGTCGAAGTCTTTGTAAGGCTTGGGTTGCAGGGATTGAGTTTTGAAGTTAGAGGTGGTTCGATGTTTTGGAAGAAAGAAATAAAAGGGCTGGTCTTGGGGTTGTCTGCATCAGAGATCTCTAAGGAGCGCGCTCTTCGGCCGCGATCGGGGTTGAGAAACTTCCAAAGGTTAACTTCGGTGGTTTTTGTTTTTAAATCCATTTTGTGGCAGTGCTGCTTTAAAGGGCCTCACGCAAAGAGAAGTTATTTAACAAAGTGAGGATTTTTCAACACCTTATGAAAGACCACGGGCCCTAGCTACGACTTCCTATCTTCCCCTACCTCCCACCCCGGCTTTTTTATTTGTAAACAGAGAGCAGCCTCCCCAGTAGTGATCGTAATAGTAGCATTCATCACTCTAGAGTTTTTAAGAAGGGGGAAGGAACAGAGTGATGAACAGAACGTGTGCGGATAATGTTTTCCTATTATGTTATCTAAGATCGAAATCAGTATGAGGATTTCAGAGCTAAGATGGTGAGAGTAAAAGAACACTGTTTTGGGAGAAAATCTAAAGGCTAACGTTTGTGTGAAGAAACTTGGGAAGTGGGCAATTGAAGTATGTCTTCTAATGTTACTTTGGAATGTTATAACCTCACACTACCTCATCATCCCTCAAACACTGTGCTTTCTCAATACAAAATGGGAAACTTGTGCCGGGTATTCAAATTCGAGTTTGGAAGTGAGAAATGTCATAAAATACTCAAAATATAAAGCCGTCAGATGCCTCCACATGAGAAACCTTTTATACCTTTTTACTCTTTTCATGCATTCAGGAGACCAATAGTGTATAAAGTGAGCACCCTTCCTTTGCAAACTCCTGTAGCAAAAGAAACTTCCAGATCCTGAGCCTGGAAATGAAAGTACGTGCTGATTTCTAAGAGAAGTAGCATTGTTAGGTGTTCACCAATGCCTGCTGGAATCTCAGGATTATGTCTGGTTTCAAAGATCAGTTCTATTAATTTTTAAGACATAACTAAAAACAGGTGGGAGAATCTTAGTTTTGAGACAGTTGTGTTGATTTAGAGAAGAGACTGTTTTAAGGGAGAGCAAGTCATTTTAAATTTGTCAGAACTGTCTGTTGAGGCCATGTGCTTTTTAATCAGCTGCATCTTCATTTCCTTTTGCCACAGTTTGAGTAGTGACCCCTGTCTCATCACTATCTATTTGAGACTTTTGTATGTGAGTTGTTTGATGAGCACTGTATATAAGTCATTGCTATTTTTGGAAAGCTTGGAAGTCCAGTGGCAGGGGTTGGCAGGAGTGCCCTCATTCCTGGCTTCCTGCGGAGTGATGACATTAACTGTTCTTTCCAGTGATTCACTCCATACAGACAGATGATAAGTTTGGTATGTTTGATAAAGTTTGCCCTTTTTGTTTTTGCTAATTTGAAGTTGGCAGGCCAGGTTGAAAGAATCTTGAATGCGGAAAGTAACTTTCACATCTCAGAGGAAAGATTTTATCAACTTCTCCCTCATCTTGGTAACTCTCATGTTAGAATGGACTGTTTTGAATTCTCTGTAGCACTCTACATTTCTCTTAGAGGATCTTTAGCTGGTCTAGTTGAGGAGAGCTCTCCTCCCCAGACACTGAGAAGCTATTTAAAACCTAGAATGCTTCCCTTTCCTCATTGGTCAGTTGTACATGGGAGAGACAGAACCCTCTATAACCTCCCAAGATTTTTAGTGAGGCAGAAATGTAGTACTCTTGAAATAGGTTTTCAGTACCTACTCAAACCTAAAGGAGGATACTTTGTGTTAATCCTGAATCCCCCCAGACTGCAGAATGATAATTGAATATCTAAAGAATTACTTACAGAGAGGTCCTGTGTTTTAACCAGTAGCAACATTACTGTTACTGTAGGATAAACAACTTGAAGTCAGGTTGATTCTTAGAAACCTGTTGTGCTTGGCAGTGGTACCAGGGTTCATCACACATTCTTTCTGCTCTCTGAAACCGTATGAAAACCTGCCAGTTTCAGTGAAAATTTAATGTCCTTTTTGTTTTCCCTGGATTTATTGGCTTTTCATTCTCATTTACCTTGTCTCATGAATTGTGATTGTTGGAGCATCAGCAAATGAGTGCGTGGTTGCCTTCCACAACTCTCCCGCCTCCTCAGCTACACAGTACAATATTTATAAAACATGTTGACAAATAATACCTCAGCAGGCACGATCTCTCCACGTGTTTTGTTTCATCAAAGAAATTTAAAGCAATAGCCAAGTGAGGCAGATATATTTCAAGGACCATAATGATGTTGATAATAAAAGTAGCTAACATTTAGCATGGACTGTGTTCCAGACTCTGTGTTCAGAGCTTAACATATATGAGTATTATCTCAGTACTTATGAACACTCTGTGAAGTTTTCTTATGACATGGATTATATTTGTTAAATAATTTGCCTAAGGTCACCCAGCTAGTATGCAGTACAGCCAGAATCGAACCCAGGCAATTCTGACTCCCAAGAGCCAAAGATGTCCCTGATCCTCCTTCTTAGTCAGTAGACCCACCCATTATCTTTGGTTAGAACCTTTCCATTACTCTCTAGAACTCTCCTGATATTTTAAACTTTCAATCCTCCTTGCACTCTTTCTAAATAACCTTTTTCTCTGTGTAACTTAGCTTTTGGACGCGTGAAGAGAGCTCTTTGTCTCATGTTTGTTTGTCTTTCCCCCTTCAACATCTCTTTTCTCAGCAGGAAAGGTACCCATCCCTTCTTTGCTCATTTCTTAGGGATGAATCTAGATCACTGGTGTTTAGAGACCTTTTTAATTGTGACTCTTGGAGGCAGATGGTGCTGGCATCTAGTGGGTAAAAGCCAGGGATGCAATGCACAGGAGAGCCCCCTAAAACAAATAGTTGGCTGGCCCAAAATGTCAGTAATGCTGAGCTTGAGAAAGCCTGATCTAGATTTCTTTCCATGTTCTCCTAAATTATCTCACATCTTCTTTGTCCTAGTCTAACGTCTAGACACCTTTACTGTTGTCTTTCCCCTTGCGACTCAAAATCTGGTGGTTCATGAACCAGCAGCATCTGCATCACTTAGGAGTTTGTTAGAAATGTGGAACCTTGGATGTGCTGGAACCAACTATTACAGCCTCTCCAGCTGACTGTGCACCTGTCTTCCCAACTCTGTTTAGTGAACTCCTGTTGGTAGCTTGAAATTGCCACAGGAAATAAGCAAGCTCTACAAATCATTATACCACTCTTTGGGCTTCTGCCTTAGACCTGTTGAATTAGAATCTATCTGCATTTGGACAAGATCCCTGGGTGATAAACTTTGAGAAGCTCTGCCCTACTCCACGTAATTCCCACTTTCCATTAAACTACGAGCTCAAAATCCTCTGATGCCCTATTCTAGCTGTTGCCTTGTCTACCGCCTTTCTTTTCTTTTATTTACTTTTTGAACAGTTTCTAAATCTCCTTGTTTCTTTTTTAGAGTGTTTTCCAATTACATTGTAATTCCAGTTCACTGTAGAAAACTTGGAAAACAAAGACCTGACAAGATTAGATCTTGGCTGATAGGAGGCATAGCCCGGAGGCTGAGGCAGCAACAGGCTTCGCAGACACTCCAGCAAGAAGAGGCTCTGATTGCCCAGAGAGGCTGACCAGGCAGCAGAAGGTGAGATTGTAGGGCAATGAATGGTTTTATGAGATCCACCAGGCTGCCCAGCGAGAGCCTTGCCAAAGTAGGCTTTATAGTGTTTGTCACTACCAAATGAAACAGCTTTTGGAAGTGATCAGCGACTGACCAGCTTCTAATCAAATCAGTGGCCTTTCAGTAGTAATTCTTTTTACTGTTTTCCCTTAGTAATTCAGGTACCCCGCAAGTCCCTTTCTCGTGCTTTTATTTGTCATGATTCCTTATTGACTCTTTTTTTCTTGATATTTATTTTGGCATTTGATTTTTACTGCTACTTATTATCAACTGTTCTGCTTTTTTCTTAAAATTTTCTGTGGATATTTTTTCATCATTTGCCATAGTTTCATCACAGACAAAAGTACTGTGTTAGCTCTCATTTCTGAATTGGCTACATAATTTTACCCTTTTCTTAGGAAAATTGGCCCCGCAAAAGATGTTCGAATTTATCCAATACAGCCTTCATCTCAATAATGGAGTAGTGGGTTTAGGCGGCTGATTTACTCTTGGTCATACAGATTAGGGCAGAACCCTGGCCTCAGGCTTCAGTTTAGGGTCCAATTAGTATTCTCAATGCTTCAGCTACCTTGTTTCCTGAGCCCTCCTTCTTTGGACCTCTGGGTCCTGTATTCTAGTTCTTGCATCTTCTCTGCTATGGGCTAAACTGTTTGCTTTCTTGGTTCTTAACTGCCCTTTTATTAACTGCTTCCCTGTCTGCATTGGTAATCTACCCCTCTATTAGCAGATGCTTGTTGGACATTTCTACTTGCATATCAGCCTTCTTGGCTTTAAGCATTTGCTGCGGAGCTGCTTTTCTCACACTTATAATAGGCACGGAGATATATGCTTGTAGTAATAGCCTTGGTCATATTCCAGTTACTGCTCTAAAAATTTTTCTGTACATTTCTAATATTTACAAAACCCCTGCAAGGTATGAATAATTATGTATTATTACTGATTAGGAACCTCAGACTCAGATTTAATATAGCTTGTAAGGACCTAATACGAGATTTTAAATCCAAGTCTGTTTGCCTCCATATTGCAGATGAGAAATGTGG